AAAAATTACAAATGAGTATGATACAAACGAAATGCTATATAGTTAGGGTTTACATATTTCTGGGTAAGAGAGTATGGAAAATGCAGCCAGTGAAGGCAGAGTAAGCCAGAGCTACTGGATTGCACACTTGGCCCAGCAAAGAGACTTAGAAATTACTGAACTGGATCAGCATGATAGATATACAAGTGCAACTTTTAGTAGAAGAGGTCAGTGATGACAACTCACAAAAACCATTGCATATTTATTTGAACACCAGCAGTTGTAGCCCCTGTAATCAGCACAAATATTAAAAAATAACTGACAGGAAATATGGATTCTCTAATAACCAACATGTTTGACTGATATTAAACCTGTGGTAGGTATATATATGGACAAAAAATTTCAGACAAGGCCCTCATTTATACTTTTCTTCAAATTTCCATAGTGTAGTGTGTTCCTTGAGTTATGTTCCATTTTTAACTGAGTATTTACATAGCGAAATGATTGTTTCACACAAGTGATATTTATCTATCGGTTTTTTAAAAACCAGAGAATTGAAATGATCACTTGTATCTGTCCATCAGCTTAGATGTTATTGGAAGAAACCATTGATTCCTAATTATATTGCCCATACAATCACCTTAGTATAGCTAGTAGCAGGGGCAGACTGACAACTCATAGGGCCCTCGGGCAATAGGGGATCATGGGGCCCCTGTCTCCTTGCCCAAACTCAAAAAAGCCTGTGAAAAAGGTACCAGGGGCATCTCATGGGGCCCCCTACTGACCCCGGCCCTCGGGCAGTGCCCGAGTTTCCAAATGGTCAGTCCGCCCCTGGCTTGTAGTAAATTCATGAAACTAATGATTCTACGGAGAGTTTTATACAGCTTTAAAACTAAAAGCAGATCTGCAGGCACACAGCTAAATACATAGCTGAAATACATGTATGGGAACTTGACAAATACACTGTTTAGCTAGCTTTGTGATCCAGGCATGCCTGCCATACATCACAGCCAGATCCTGGACCTTCCTGTATGCTAAACTGCAGTAAAGCAATAGTGTATGATCATAGACCCACCCCAGCTGTAATTGGGCAATAATGGAGGAGTGGTGCATTCATGAAGTCATCCATGCACACTCATCTCCTGTGAGTAAAGCCTGGTACACACTATAAGTTTTTTTTTATTTCAACCAAGCAGGCTAAACAAAGAAAGCGGACAAATCGCTATAATAACAATAGTAATAAGTGATGTTAGTACAGTGATCTCCCCTACTGTGCTATTGTGTTCTGACAGAAGTACCGCCCCCCACCCGACAGGACACACTGAGCTGCACTTGCACTTGCCGCCATTGGCCAGTGAGCTGCTGATTTTCGAGCATGCATATTCGACAGAAGACAGACATTAAGCAGGCTTCTGTCAGACAGGCTGCTGTACACATTGACCGAATGTTGGCTGGTTTATGTTGTATATTTGGCCCGTGTATACCAGCCTTTAGGCCACTGACAACACTGAGCAATGCAGTAGGGCCTAATTGGCTGCTTGTGTTGACCCTTCTTCCCCTAGTCTTAGTGCCGCAGTGCAGAGGGTTACAAGAGGCCGATATCAAGACAGAATAACGTATACGCTATATTACCAAAAGTATTGGGACACTCCTCCAAATCATTAGATTCAGGTGTTCCAATCACCTCCATGGCCACAGGTGTATAAAATCAACCACCTAGGCATGTAGACTGCTTCTACAAACATTTGTGAAAGAATGGGTCGCTCTCAGGAGCTCAAGTGTGGTACCGTGATAGGTTGTCACCTGTGCAATAAGTCCATCCGTCAAATTTCATTGCTACTAAATATACCACAACAGAAATTCAGCCACGAAGTGGTAGGCCACTTAAAATGACAGAGCGGGGTCAATACCAACTGTCTGCAGAGTCAATAGCTAAAGACCTCCAAATTTCATGTGGCCTTCAGATACCAAAACAACAGTGCGTAGAGAGCTTCATGGAATGGGTTTCCATGATTGAGCAGCTGCATCCAAGCCTTACATCACCAAGTACAATGCAAAGTGTCAGATGCAGTGGTGTAAAGCATGCCGCCACTGGACTCTAGAGCAGTGGAGGTGTGTTCTCTGGAGTGACGAATCACACTTCCCTGGCTGGTAATCCGATGGACGTGTCTGGGTTTGGTGGTTCCCAGAATAACGGTAGTTGCCAGACTGTATTGAGCCAAGTACACAGTTTGCTGGAGGGGGGATTATGGTGTGGGGTTTCTTTTTTAGGGGTTGGGCTTGGCCCCTTAGTTCCAGTGAAGGGAACTCTTAAGGCGTCAGCATACCAAAACATTTTAGACAATTTCATACTGGATGACATGGATAAGCTTGGGGAGGAGGAACTTGACTGGCCTGCACAGAGTCCTCACCTCAACCCGATTGAACACCTTTGGGATGAATTAGAATGAAGACTACGAGCCAGGTCTTCTCATCCAACATCAGTCCCTGACCTCACAAATGTGCTTCTGGAAGAATGGTCAAACATTCCCATAGACACACTCCTAAACCTTGCAAAAAACCTTCCCAGAGGAGTTGAAGCTGTTATAGGTGCAAAGGGTGGGCCAATTCAATATTGAACCCTACGGACTAAGACTGGGATACCATTAAAGTTCATGTGTGTGTAACGGCAGGCATCCCAGTACTTTTGGCAAAATAGTGTATATGCTAGTTCTATGTAAAATACATCTGAAAAAAATTATGAATTTCATTATAACCGCTTGCCAACCGCCTAACTTAGAAGTATGGTGGCAAAGCGGCCTCTCTGTGCTGGATCACGTATCTGATACATAATCCAGCTCTTCCAGCTAGGGGGTGCACTCGCGGCCCCTGCTATGCTGTAATAAGTTACAGCACAAGCTGATCAGCTGGTACCGGCTAATGACTCATGGCCAGAACCTGCCGATTGGCGAAGCAGATGACCAGACAGAACTCTGTGATCATAAACAACACAGATCTCTGTCTTGACAGCAGGGATGTTCTAGTTTTTGTTTTCCTGTAAAGCACTTATTAAATCAGTACACAGTAAATACAGGCATTGTTAGGCACACAGTTAACCCATTGATTGCCCCTAGATGTTAACTCCTTCCCAGCCAATGTAATTAGTACAGTGTCAGTGTATATTATTAGCATTGATCACTGTATTAGTGTCACTGGAGACGTCAGTGTCAGTTAGTTCCCACAAAGTGTCATTTAGTGTCATATTGCCCGCCATACTATCACAATCCCTCTATAAGTCAGTGATCAATGCCATTACTAGTATTTAAAAAAACAAAAATTTCATTGTAAATACCATAGTTTGTACACGCTATAACTTCTAGGGTTCGTTCACATCATACATGCATGAAAACTGATGGAAACTGACATGCAGAATTCTCTTGCAGAGAATCATCATCAGTTTTCATGTGCATCTCAATGAGATTTATACATGTTGCAGATTCTTGTGCAGAAAAAATCTGGACATGATACCAGTGTTGTGTTGTGAACAGGGCATATAGAGAATAATTGAGTTCGTAGTGCCCTTGCAGAACTTGTGCAGAAAAACTGACATCTCTGCACCATGGTGTGAATGAGCCCTCACACAAACAAATTAATATACACTTATTGGGATTTTTTTCTTAACACAAATATGTAGCAGAATACATTTTGGCCTAAATATATGACCAAAGTTGATTTTTTTATTTTTTAATTTATGTTTTATCACAGAAAGTAAAAAAAATATTGTTTTGTGGGGTTTTTTTTATTTTGGTCTTTTTTTCGTTTATATAATAAAAAATAAAAAACCCAGTGGTGATCAAATACCACCAAAAGAAAGCTCTATTTGAGTGAAAAAAAATTATATGAATTTCACCTGGGTACAGTGTTGTATGACCGTGCAATTGTCAGGTGAAATAGAACAGAGCCAAATAGCAAAAAATGGCCTGGCCAGGAAGGGGGTAAAACCTTCCAGAGGGCAAGTGGTTAAGGAATAAATAGTGTTTTAATAGGCCCAGAGCTCTGCCATAATGTAAAAATTGTCTAGAACAGATACGTGATGCTTAGGATAACATGATAACAGAAAACAGCAATCATCAGCTGTTAAAGAACTATAAGACCTGATAGCTAGCATGTCATGCTGGCACTTGTAGTCCTGTTTAGACTGTGGCCATGTAGTTAGTACAGTCCTACCCTGTAGTATACTGACAACTGGTTCATGACATGTCTCTGCTAATTATTCACAGAATAAATGCCATTCTATGTATCTGCTTTATGAATGATTCCAAGTCTGTATTTTTTATATTTCCATTCAAACAAGTGTGATTATAGCTGTCTCTTCTCATTAGTTCACCCAAGTATTAACCCTAAACTTTCAGGATCTTTGGTCACTTGACCATCAGTAGGGTTAGTCTTGTCCTTCCTCCCTGTTTTCTCCTGGTGTTGGTTATATCAGTACCCCCTGTTGTGGTCTGGTAGTTATGTGTCAGAATCAATCAGGGGGCAATGAAAAGGAGGGGTTTTAACTCACTGTGTTAGGTCGCTATGTGCCATTCACTAATAGACAAAGGGTCTCCTCAACAGATGTAAAGTTAAGTGAAATCTGTCATCCTGTGTAGGAAAAAAAAAAAGAAATGACCACAAGGAGGAGGGAGATGGAAAGAGGAGGTCAGAGCCAGGGAATTTATCGGATTGAGAAGGATGGGTTGGGGGGGAATTGGTGCCAATTAATCCTGTGGGATTGGGAGGGAGGTGGAACCCTCTATCTACACTACAAGAGGCATGGCCAGGAGCTTATTGGGCCAGGGAGTAACATAAAAACCCCCTGCCTGGCATTGACCCCTTCTATCATTCAGATCAGACTGGAAGCAGGAAAAGAGAAAGTAAACTTTACACATATCCACACAGTCATGACTGGCCGAGATGACATCTCAGAAGGGAAATCCAAAGTGAAGATCCTTGCACCAACCGTAGGGATTGAGAAGTCAGGACGGTTCCATGGACCTACAATGAGATCCAAAGGATTTGCAATCACTGATCTGCTCGGTCTGGAAGCAGAACTGCAGCCACCAACAGTATCTCTACCCAGCTGTGAAGGACCTGGAGGTGGCCTTGGTGGGGTCTCTTTGGCTAATGGCTCACTACCTCTCGGCTTGGGGTTCCTGTGTGGTTTTGCCTCCCAACAACCCACTGGGACTACCTGTCTTCTTCCAACTCACATCCCGTTTCTTCAGCCGAGAACTGATCATCAGTACCTTCACAACACAGACAAGCACAAAGAAAACATTTCTGGTAAAATGCCAAATACTATATATTAACTATTCTAATATAGTATGGGGTAAAACATGTTCTGTTGTCTTAATAGTCACTAGTTATATTTGAAAACTTGTGCTAGGTATTAGGGCTACAAGCGTCACTAACTTAGAGAAAGTACTGCTGTAATTATGCCTAATTACCTCAAATCGCCTTGAAAAGAATCATTGTATCTTACCTTCTGGCAAGAGTTGTTTTATCATCTACATGTAATGATTACGCCAGCTATGTTTAGACACCAAGGATGGGTTGTTTTCTTGGGTGACAGCAGCTTGAGAAAGTGATTGGAGTGGGGAGAAGATTTTTTTGTCTTTGCTGGATCAGAGAGCTGTCCAGCCTTGGTGACCTTTTTGTGGTGCTGAAGGGATAAGGGACGTCTGACAGCATGCAAGCTTTCCCCTTTCATCTGTACAGGGTATTGTGTGCTAATTTACTTTCTAAGGTGCTTAAAGCACATGCTAAAATTCAATTGTGTTTTGGATTTCAAAAGTTAGTAAATAGTTGCTGTAAACAAAATAACCGCCAGAGCACTTAAATTACCTTAGCGTATTTCCATATCCAAAGTTTTAGTAACAGGGAAAGTTTAGATGACGCTAACATGTGCAGTTTTAGAATTAATAATGGTGACATATTTTGTTAACATAGGTATAGTAATTTTACAATTCTTATAATTATAGATGACGATAGCCTTCTCGGTGATAAAAATGATCTGAAGGCATCCAGCTCTCAAGCCAAACGAAAGAAAAGACGACACAGGTAAAAAAAAAAAAAATAAAGCCAGATAGCAATGGGGCCTTTTATTGTGCATATTTGTTTGAATGCACTAATGGTTTATTCTTTTTAAATCACTGCAATTGTAACAGTGTTTGTGTTAGTATCGATGACAGCTGAAACAAGTGAATGTCTGTTTATTCCTATAGGACTGTATTTACCGCTCACCAGCTGGAGGAATTAGAGAAAGCTTTCAATGAAGCTCATTATCCTGATGTGTATGCCAGAGAAATGCTGGCTCTTAAGACAGAGTTACCAGAGGACAGGATACAGGTAACAGACAAAGCAATCATACATCTATGGTCCTTTAGATATATGGTATTATCAATGCTTGAAGCACATAACTTACATCACTCCTTGCTGTTGTGAAACAAACACAATGGGGTGCATTTACTAAAGGCAAATAGACTGTGCACTTTCCAAGTGCAGTTGCACTAATTTTCCCCAGAGCTTAGTAAATGTAGTAAAGTTCTGCTGATTTCCATCATCCAATCATCTGCAAGAAAAATGCATTTTTTATTTCTTCCTGTACCTGACTGGGTATTCTTTACAAAATGAAACTTTACCCCTTTTACTAAGAAAAATGAATGCAACTGCACTTTCCAGGTGCACAGCCTAGTTGCCTTTAGTAAATCCACCCCACTGACTTATATATGGTTATCCCCATTTAAATTGTTATATAGCTTGCATTTTTCGAAATTCAATAAAAATAAATTTTTCATTAAAATCAAATTTTATTTTTGTTAGATGCAGCGTTTACTCATTTTGTTGCTAAATAATATTAAAAACAATTTTATGCTGAATAAATTCCTATAATTGGATACATACGTTGAAATATTAAGATATACATACTGTCATGCAATCTTTGTGATGCAAAGATTGGTACCCAACATCTTGGGATGAAATGATGCGTATTAAAAGATAGGTTACTAAACTATATATCTATTGAGAATGTTGTTATTTCTGATTTTGATGATAGAAATAAACACTTTAAATATATATGCTGAAGCCGCGGGAGAAATACTGATCATCAAAGTGAATCAAATTTGGTAATGCCATTACAGGTGTGGTTCCAGAACAGAAGAGCTAAGTGGAGAAAGCGTGAGAAGTGCTGGGGTCGAAGCAGTGTCATGGCAGAGTATGGACTCTATGGAGCCATGGTGAGACATTCTATCCCCTTGCCTGAGTCCATCATCAACTCAGCAAAGAATGGATTGGTCGGTTCATGTGCTCCGTGGCTATTAGGTGAGGAACTTGTATTGGTAAATTGTTTGTATATATAAATATCTTACATGAACTTCAAATGTCTTTGGATTGTTCAGTAAGGAAATGCGAAGAGCAGGGATTAAGTGAAGCAACTTACAGCAACCAATCAGAAATCATCATACGTGAAATGACTCCAGGTAGCTGAATTCGCATTGGTTGTGTAGGGTTATGGTACGTGTTGTGGCTCTTTGTCTTACTAAATAAATGTGTCATGTTTGCTTGTAGGATGATCTGTGAAATGAAATGTTAATTATCTTTGCAGCAAAGTCACAGATTTCTACATATCACACTATCTTGTTATCTTTGACAAAGGTGAAATGGAGGAAGATATTAATTGTTATTTGGTTGACAACATTTTTTTTATGGCTTAGAAAGGTGATTAGGCTATCATGAGCCACTTGTAGATCAAAGACCCACGAAACTATAGGGTGGACCCAAGGTATCATATCCTCACTTTGTTATGTGTATAACAATAAAACTGCTCCACCTGTATATTTGCAACCAGTACAAAATTGTCAATTATTTCTGGATAAAATGACAAGCTGACAGTAACAGAAAGGATCATACTTTGTAAATTACTATATGAATTACTGATTAAAACTACAAAAACTATATGTAAGAATACAGCTATCAAACCATTGATAAGCATTCAATATTTTTATGTTTTGCAAGTTGTCTTTACATATACAATAATGACCATAGACTTTTTCTTTTATTATGTTCTCAGGTATGCACAAAAAGTCTGTAGACCTCGGGCGTAAATCAGACATGGATGAAATGACAATGGAGAACTGCAGAGGGGACCATTCCATTGACGCAGTTTTATCCAAGACTGCAGAATCCCAAAGAAGCACACATGACAGAAACAATGCAATGGACACTTCAGAAGACAGAGCTATTGATCTCTCAAGCACAGCAAAACAAGAGGCACCATGCAGTATAAAGCACATATCATTGTCTAGAGACAGTCAGAATGACCTCACTGACAGCGAGCACTGAACAAACTGCTTCTTGCATCAACAGAAGAAGCAAGTAGTGAGGTGTTCGTATAGGAAAACATGGCAAAGCCATGAAGCACTGGCATCACAATCATAGACTTAACTTATTGTGAAATATTTCCATAAGCATTTTCTGAACATTTTTTAAATGCAATTTTATAGCAAGAGATTTTTATGAACGTCTTTGCCACAGCACTATAAGCTAACAATGTAATTATGTAAAGTATTTACAGTTTTCATTTGTTTCTTAACTTTATCCTGTCCCCCTCAAAAAAAAAAACATATGCAGGTCCAGATTTTCACTGTAGAATTATGAATTTAAAAAATGATGTAAATATGTCAACCATACAAAGGCTCATAGAAAAGCTATCATAGAATTAATAGTAATAAAATGTATTCCTTTATTTTTGATGCAAGCAGTCTTGGTTAGTTTTGAACAATTTGCATATGGTTACAATTAAATCGGATCACATTTTACTTGATTCTGATTGTAAAAAAATGTAAAAAAAAAAACAAAACGTTTTGTGCTTTTTTTATGAAGCTCAAGGGCATTATAGTTTGTTCAGCTTTATGTTTACATTTGGTAATTCCAAGAACACATTTCAATCTCAATGTTGGCATTTATTTTACATTTAACCATTTGAATTCAAAATTTTATCTCTGCTCACATTTATCACGGTTTAGAGTTGTATCAGATGATGTCTTCCAAAAGAAGAAAGCAATTGTACTACAATTGTTTTTGAACAAATTCATTCAGGCCCATGTTTGCTTCAAATAATTTTAAGCTTTAAAATCAAGCCTTTACAACAACCAATAATCTAAAAGGGTCCTATTATATACATATAAGACGGCAAATGTATAATATACATGTTGATTAATATTTTCACAAAAAAAAATAAGCCTTTAAAAGAACACATCATTTTAAAGAATTCCTAACATTGTATACATATAAGAGGGGAAACTTATAACATACATGTTGTAGAGTCAGTTCCTCACATAAAAAAAGGAAATTCTATTTATAATTTTATAATTCTTCATAAAAAAAATATTATTTTTATTTTTTACTTAACAACAAATAAGAAATATATCATTTATTTTAGGGAAACAATGGTTGTTGTATTGCTTAATGTTAATGCAATTGTTGTTGGCGTTAACATTTTCTTTTTGATTTTATAATAATTTACTCCACATTTCCACTTCCAAAATATCTACTTACAGTAAAAATAAAGCAATAATGTTCCAAACAAGGAATACTTTTGAAGTTTAAAAAGTGTTTTTTTTTTACTTCCTCTGATCAATATTTAAAGATTAAAGCATATACTTCAATTTCTTCTCTAGTGCAGGAACCTATATTAAAAAAAAGCTGCAGCCTTACTGTATTTGTGTATTTTGTAAATAAATTTGAATTTGTATTCAACTGGTATAGAAATAATGAGTGTGTTTTACACACTATTTTACATGGCCTATGCATAGCACAAGATAGAAGACACTGAACATTTGGACTAGATGACATATGTTTTTAAAGAGAAAATACTATATTTTGTGAAGAATCAATAGTCAATGTTTTGTAATTATTTGGTTTGTCTGTAAAACATTGGTATCATTTTAGGCTTGTCTTTCAGAATTTTATATTTATGTATTGAAGCACTTTGGTAGTCAGTTTTTTTCTAATTTGTTGGCTATATTTTATCCTATATTTATTATGCATAAACCAATAAAACATTATGTATATTTAACTTGCATATTGTGTCTTTGAGGGAACTTTATAAAACAAAATAAGAGGGCTGATAGGGACATGGTGCTCTGTTTTATTATCACAATCAAAAAGAAATCTTAATTGATAAGGGTCTAAAGTTGAGAGCAATACATACTGCTCTCCTTCACAACCATGCCAAGCAGTGTGTGTTAACATGTGTGGATGTGCATTTTAATGTTTTTATATATGCAAACAGGCATTCTTGACATATAGGGGAAGATTTACTAAAACTGGAGGGTGGAAAATCTGGTGCATTTCTGCATAGAAATCAACCAGCTTCTAACTTCAGCTTGTTCAATTATATTTGGGTAATAAATCCTTGAAGATGATTGGCTTCTATGCAAAACTGCAATAGATTTTGCACCCTCCAGTTTTAGTAAGTAACAACCAATGTATAAGAAAATAGCTAAGACCACTATCTGTGAAATTTGCTAAATTTTATTTTTGAAGGGCCAATAACAAGCAGAAACCATTGCATTTTTTACTATGTTGTACACATAGAAAATCATAAATGCTTTACTGTGTGAATATTTCATAGATGTGATTAGTCCCTTAAATTAACAAAACCACAGATAAGCAAGTATCATTTTACATAGTAAATTATGCAGAGTTCAGAATGTTTTATATTACTCTCTGTTGCACAAAACGTATAACAAAAATTTACTATACAGGCTACAGGCACTGTGACCACAAAAGCCCAAACAGTATAAATGTATATTTTATAATTTGTCAGTGTTGTGAATACCCTTTCAGTTTAATACGACCATTCAGGAATTCGATAGCAATAAGCAATTCTTAAGTCTGAAGAATCTTTTTCAATAGTGTAACAATTATTTATTATCAGTTGGTTTTGTACATATTTTCTTTATTCTTTAGTTAGGTATCTATGAAAATATTACATATTAATATTATCTAATCTTCTATCCAGCCAGCAGGGGAGCTCTAGTGTCCTTTTCACATCATTAGTATGATTATTTTCAGCTGTGCTGAATGAACCCCGTTGTTTAGAGAACTCCAATGGGTGATCACAAAAGTGAAGACAGCTAAGTGAAGGGAAATGTGATTGTCAGCAGCCACAGGGGCCTGGCAGGAATTAAAGTGAAATGTTACCTTAACCTTTAAGTATAACAACAGAGGAACTATAAACAGCATAAGAAACAATATAAATTCAATGCAAAAAAATTGTTTACATGGTCTGACTTAAGATACAGAACATATTTACTTCTAAGAGTCTAAAGAACCCTGCAGCATAGAGTGACTCATGATATTCAAATGCAGTTTAGTGTTTAGTGGCTGCCATAGCATTACACATACTACTGATCAAGAAGAGGCATCATTGTTTGCTCATTATGTAATGTTATTGGCTGCTGTTTTTCAGTTAACACCTGCAAAAAATTTAAAATGGTAAATACCTGTAAAAAATATACTATACACTGTAAGCATTTGAGATTTATTTATTTCAGGTACTTATATAGCGCTGTCAACGTGTGCAGCTCTTTACATATATATTGTACACAAATGTAAAATGATAGAGCAAGTGATAGGGCAACATAGGAACAGAAACAGCAACGAAAAGAAAGAATATGTGGAAAGTGTTTGTAATTCAAGTGTGAACTTGTAAAAAAATTGTCCTTTCGTCTTATCAGTTGTCTAGTGACAACTTTTCAATCACCCTCAGTATTAAAAGCTCAGGGGCTTCAGTACCTGGACTCTGCAAACTGTGCTTGCTGTATCTCATCTGCCTCTGATATAGTGAGTACTATTTTCACTCTTTGCATGGGGAATAGCTTTTATGATGGAAACTGCATAATATTTTATAACGTAGACACAGGGCGGACTGACGAATCGAGCGATCGGGCACTGCCCCGAGGGCCCGGGGTCAGTAGGGGGCCCCATGAAATGCCCCTGGTACATTTTTCATAGGATTTTTTGAGTGTGGGCAAGGACACAGGGGCCCCATGATCCCCTATTGCCCGTGGGCCCCATGAGCTGTCAGTCTGCCCCTGCGTAGACATGAGAAATACATCAGAAATTCACAATATTATCTGGACTGTGCTCCAATGGACTTGCGATATGATGGTTCTAGGAATCTTAGTGGTCAGCTGACACAATTTGCAGATATGTAAAGTTGTAAAAATTTGCAGATAATTAATATATTGTTTTTGCAGTTATAAAAAAAACTGAGAAAATGTCATGCCAGTATGATTTACAGTACTGTGTGCAGCTACAGTATTTCATGAAGTATTAAAAATAACATACAATAAAGACCTGCTGCAACTGCTGGAAATATGTAAGCGATGATTTGTCAAACTAGAGAAGAAGATCAGAAGATAAGTGTTGTTGCCAATAGCAACCATTCAAGTTTTATTCATTTTATTGAAAAAATTTGAATTCTGGATGGTTGCTCTGGGCAACAACTCCACTTTTACGTGTTTTTTTTTTCCTTGTTATAGTGAATTAGTGTCTAGGGCACCGAGGGCACATGCCCCAGGTCTAGACATTGTCACCAAGGATACATGCCCATAAGTCTTTAACTGAGTGCCCACGGGTCTTGTTACAGTAACTGTTAAAGTCATTTCAAATATGATCCTATAAACAAACATCCTACAATTGTCTAATTCTGAAAACATTTTCAATTTTCATCAGCAGTTTTAACCTTACAATCCCTGAAAATGGCATTTGAGCACCTGTCATTTTTAATGTACTGGGTTTCTATTTTTCACAATAAATATTTTGGGCTGATTTACTAAAACTGGAGAGTGCAAAATCTGGTGCAGCTGTGCATGGTAGCCAGTCGGCTTCTAACTTCAACTTGTTCACTTAACCTCCCTAGCGGTCTGATTATGTCAATATTTCTGTGCTCAAATCGGTAAATTTTTTTGCATGGAAATATGTCGTTTTTTTTATTGTAGGCCTGTAATTCTTAGGAAAAACTCACTGAAATCTGTCCGAACAAGAGTCTAGTAAACATCCCGGGTATGATAAAATTTGAAACACGAAATCATAAATTATAATATAATAAATAATCATAAAAAATAATAATATAATAATAATACATTTAATTCAATAATGTAATTAAACCAAAAACACTGAAATTTGAAATAGAGCGCCAAGTTCACACATAACTGAACTTAGTCGCAAAATCATTTTCAGTGTCTGATGACGAATTTCCCCACGAATCATTATCACTCAATTCTGCAAGTGGTTCTGATTTACTATTGCTGTTCTCTAGCTGGTCTAAAACC